CAAGTGCATAACATGGGACGTGAAAGCCAATAATAACACCAGCCAGTGCCCACTCTACAAGTTTTCCTTCCCTGTGCTGAATAGTGCATCACCTCCTCCTCAGACCAACCTCCCCTTCATCCTGTTCCTCAATTTATTTTCTCTTTTCAAAACCAGCTTTAACTGGAATCTACATGTGGTTTCTCCAATCACTCGGCGAAGACAGCTTAGCCGGGTGAGCGAGAGCCACCTTCCGTTCTGAGGATCACCTATTGCTGAGGTGGACACTTTTGCTGCCGCGTCAGAACAGGATGTGGACAGAAAAATGGAGCTACAAAGGAGGGCCTCGCAGCTGGCGGTCTCATTTTGTGTTAATGCCTTGCAGAAAAAGACGTGAAACAGCTATGAAAACAGACTTCAGTCCAACCTTTGAAGGTCAACCGTTAGTCACTGCCCAGCAGTTCCCTTACAAAAAACGACATCCTGATATTCATATAACACTAACTCGGCGTAGGCTGAATGCAGCAGAAGGGCCTCAGGACCATCAGGAACAGTATGCATTTTTTGGTTTAGTGTAGCCAAAGGCAAGTGATTTACATAATCTCCATTTGGTTGCAATCTATCATGTCCAACTGCAATTAAATGACCAATTTCCTGCTTCCAAGCTATCTATTAAATGAGCAAGGATACAATGGTGACATTAAGTAGAGTGAACATTTATTTAACTCAGCAGCACTAAGGAAGCAGAGTTATAGATGGTCATTGTGCAGATGTCAGTGATTATTAATGTCCAAATCCCTGAAATGTGGCATGGTGCCTCATGCTCTAACACCAACACTCTGGCTTTCATTACACAGTGAATTGTGGAACACACAGTAGAATTACTACCTTAAAGGTAGGCAGTAAATTTGTGACATTATCTTGATGTATGAAAAAGGGGCATTTGTAAAAATATTTCTGTACCATTGCATTACTTACAATCACATTACTTTTACTAGACATATCAACATTTGAACTTTCTGTTAGTTTTATCGTGCCGAACACTAACGCTATCCCACATGGTATTACAAAAATTAAACCATTTGTAAGCCATCTTCTGGTTACAACAAAAACATCACTTAAAATAGCACGTGTACCTCTATACACCTCTGAATAACAAATATTTATCTGTAAAACTCAAGACATTGTACAGCACATAGCAGAAGAAAGAATTTAAAGGCTACAGCCTAAAGTTTATCCTGAGGCTTCTTTTCCTCTCCTCTCTCAGGCTTTTCTCCAAGTAACTGGCTGACTTTAAGCGGTACTCCAGTGATGCACTTCTATAAAGTTAGAGGACTCACAAGAGACAGATTTAAAAAAGAATGGTCAAAATCGAAGCAACACAGCCTGAAATATCCTGACTTATACTCCCTAGTATGGGTCAAGTTCCAAAAACACTGGTTCCTACAATTTCCATAACGCAACCTGAGGCTATCTGTCAAAAGTTTACGGCACAAGCCGAAGCAGAGATAACCCGAATGACATCAGAGCTTTCAGAGTTTAAAAAGCTCTTTCAGAGCCACATAAGACATTATAAAACTGTTTTTACAAGTTGAATTGCACTCATCAGTGAAGTGGCCTTTGAAATGTTTTGTATTTGAATAGCCAGCTCAGTCCTTGTGCATCGTCCGTATAAAAAAGTTTGTTTTTGTATCTTACTGAACAAAGCATTTATTGGATCTCTGTAAAAAAAAAAAAAAGAAAAAAGAACGATAAAAGGACAATAAAACAAAAACAAAACTCATTTTCTAGATCATTTAGGTTATACAGTGAACTAATGAGAGTTTCTTTCACTGAGTGGTGAAGTACCAGATTTCAACAGGGCACATTAAAGTTCCACTCTTCGCTTTGATTAAACGCGTAAAAACTCATCTCTGTTCATCAAAATTACATATTTAAAAAAAAATTTGTCCATGGAAAAATCCCTTCATGCCTTAAAATGGCTGAGATCTATCTCTATACTTTTGCCTCATTAAGTATGCACGGATCTATGAATATGCAAACTAGTCCTGCCCCTTAGCCGTTGGCCCGCCGCTCAACCTTACCTGCTCACCTTCGACTTTGGTCATGGCTCTCTGCAATGTTAGAAACCTAACAGTAATATAATAACACAAGCCTTCGACTTCGCTACATTATTAAACAGCTAATGGTGTGATGCTAATGTTAGATAAACCTTGTTACCAATCGCCAGCTGTGACAAGTTGAACTTAGCTTGCAAAATACAGACACGTAGCTATCTCTGAATCCATGTTTTTGAGACTATCATTAGTACACTGCATTCAAAGGAGGAAATGCTCAGCCATGCGCTGACTGCTTATACAGCTCACATCTTGCAGCATGCAAAAAGCACCATGAGGGCATGTTTACAAGGTTAAAAACTTGATTTTCACTGGAGCTTTACGATCTATATTTCTTGAATAAATTATATGCTGTACAACATAGCTCTCTGTACCATATTTATGTTCTATGATCCTAACCATATAGTGTTTTGGTTTACTCCATACGTTGTATGTTGCCAATATGTGCGTTTCACATGTGTAAAAGATGAATTTGCAAACACCATTTAAGGGGATGAAAAAAAAAGAGAACCTATTGACTCCTGATCTCTGCTGGTCAACATACTACCATCGAAACTTCTCCATCATTTACATTCAATGCTGGCCTTTGCACCCATACACTAAAGCACACAGGCACTCTGCGATACTATCTCACTATCTCACTTAATTAGCTCCTAAAGGCCGCCTTCCCTGCATTAGTGCATGGACCTATCTGTGTGTTCCACTATACTATCATCTTTTAAATGGGGTATACATTTCAAACAACCTTGGGCTGTTTGTGCTTGGTGATGCTTATCTGGTGCTGAGGTCAGGTCACTGACTGAGATCAAGGGTATGTTGATTTAAAAATATATATATAATAAACAGGCAGCAGTCTGGTGTGCCTAAACTTCTCAGGCCTGTCTTTCTATCAGATCAGCAGCTAGTGTGCCGCCACGCCGACTCAGCCAGGTCAGCCTTCTCAATGTTAGATGGGACACGAGTGATAAGGAGTGGGACACAGTGGAGGGATTTCGAAGAGACAAAGCCATTCTAAGAACGAGCCCTGGAAATGCCTCAAATTCACGCAGAGAAAACCACGGGCTCACTACTTGGCATTCAACGTAACAATGCTGCTACCACAAAAGCAAATTAATTTTGGACTAATTAGCCTAACAACCGGCTTTGGTGTTGGAAGAAATACGAAACGCTATTATCATTAGTGTCCATTTAGACACAGCTACAAGACTTGTCATTTATTCTCGGTGCAAACACACAGGAGCAGGACAGTATTAGCTTCCAGACAAAGATGCAGGTCCCAACTATACTTTCGGATCCGTGCGTGTGTCTGAATATATCTCGGCTTAACTGTCCTCAGCTCGTTGTACAAGCCCATCGGAGACTATCCAATGGCATTGTAATTCTTCAATTTGATTCCAGCTTCGCTAATAAAGCTCAAGGCTGCAATGCTGACAAACACAAACTCTCAAACAGTCTTTAAAAATGTTCAGATAGGTATTTTCTTCCTCAGAGCAAGGGCATCCTCAGGGACCTCGAGAGACAAATTCATCTGTTCATTTCATGCGCAGAGAGAGGTAAACACTGGTTTTCTTGCCTACTGTGATTGCCAGGCAAACTCTTACTCCCTGTTTTCCATGCTGTGTTGAAGGGGGGGGGCATTTGGTGACATTTGGGATGGCCTCACAAACAGCCAAGCAGGTCTCGACACTGATTGCTATGCTGGAGAATGAAGGAGTGAGGCAACTACGGCCAGGAGGATAGCAATGAATGGATACGCTAAGTTTCAGAATACCATGTTTTCGTGTTTTCAAAAACTGCCTCATGTAGCTGCAATTATTCTGACACTATACAGTCGGCAGGTACAGTATGCCCAGTGCCCATAATTTAGCAGGTCTATACTCAAATGGCAGCCTTAGAAAATAAAAAGGAAGGCAAAAAAAGTAAAGGGTAAGCATAAATGTAATGATTTAAGCAACAATTTACATCATAATTAAGTTGCCTACTGATTTTTCCTCGTCAAGGGTCCACGTCCTTATAAAACTTTCACCCCTGATACTTTCGATAAGTAGCTTTCTGCAGCTGTGGGAGATATACTGTATGCAACATTGCCTGAAAATGTAATTGAACTAAATATAGAAATAGGTGAATCGAGTTGATCCATGCACCCCATATAACACCAGGAGGAAGAATGCTGAGTGAGAAAGCCCTGTGAAACAGGGTAACTGTGCGGTAATTGTGTGACAGAATTGTAATTCAGACGTGCAACAGTCAATATGCTGCTCATAAACGAGTTCCCCGACATCACTATGAGGTTAGGCAGGTCTACAGTTGACCGTGCACAACTAGTCCTATCAACTGCGTCTCCATCCGATGTTATGACGATCCCACGGCAGAAACACAAGCCACAGCTCGGGGGAGAGACAAAACACACTTTGGCACAGGGATATTTTTCACCTGCTGCACTGTAGGATAGTGCTGCTACGCGCATGCAGTCACAGCCACTGAATCTATTCAAGCTCCCAACCGCCTCGCGAATATTCCTGAAAATGCAAAACAATAAATGCCAAGGTCTGCTAAATGCACAGGGCAAGTTCAATGTGTTAAAATGAAGGTGGTGTCCCTTTTGGGGGGTTTATCAGCTGACATGCATTAGCATATAATGCAACATTTTAACATCCTGAATGATAACAGAGAAGATGCAGACTTCCAGAGCATCATCCCACACTGGACAAAAAAGCATGACGAGCAATTTTAGATGATCAACTCTTTATCATTCATGAAGTGTGGCTTTTAAAGAACATAGAGGCTTATATCCATCAGCTGCACAACATTTGGCGCCCGTAACAACCCCAGACTGCACTAAAACAGCCCGTGGTGCCAAGTTTCATCGGACTGCGCATCCCCGACGGCCCGGTTCTTCCTTACCTTTCTCCTCGCCCGACACCACCGAGGGCTCGGCGCATGGAAATAATCCCGAGAATAGGGCTAGAAAGGCGAGTAGAAAAAACTCGGACATGTTTTCGGAGAGCGGGCTATAAAGAGCCACGGTGCTTCTCCCGGTCCTGCTCCTGCTCCTGGTCCGGGTCCAGTCTCCCCCCTCCACCAGCACCCGGTTGTCGAGCGCCGTTATTCGGTGGTGTCCAGCGGAACCAGTGCGCAGAACAGTGCAGCGCTCCCCCCGCTCCGCGACACATGCACACCGCCGCTCTACACAGCGAACAGACGCACCGGAGACGGCAGGCAGGAGAGATGAGAGTCAGAGGCAGGGGGACAGAGGGAAGGAAGGCGGGGTGGGAGTGTAGGAGGATAACGAATGAGTACGTTTCCTGTCTTTTCTCAATGATTAAATGCCGTCAAGGTGGCGCAGCTCGCGTGAAATTCATCATATTTGTTAGCTGTACTCTCAGTGCAGTGGGTGTCGGTCTGAGGTCCGGGGGTGGTGTGAAGAAGGGGACCTGAAATAAAAAAAACAAAAGAACAAAGAGTCAGAGAATGTGGGATGAGCCATGAGTAATCTCAGCTCTCTCACTGTTGTCTCCAGTACACTCAAGTACAGAGTTCAATAGTCTGTCATACAAAACCCTACAGAATTAACTTGTAGACAGTATGTCTTGTAAAATTGAAAAGTGTGCACATGTGGAGACCCAAACCTGCCACCCATTGGACCACACAGAGAACAATGCAATCTGGTTGTTTAGCTCAGATCTAAAGAAGTGGGAACACATAAATACATAACAGTAATTTAACACATCCCTCTTATACATATTACAGTTGCTCACTTGGTCTGTGTGAGATGCTGTGGTCATTTGGGTGGTTATATTCTAACAGTGCTTTGGCCTTATGCACCAGCAGTTCATGAACTATAAGGCCACTTTAAAGTTCAGCTGGCATGCCTTACAAACTGAGTTAAGTAGAAGCAAGTAGCAGAGGTGACAGTCAGGCCTTTAGTTGACCATGAGTTGACTAATTGGCAGCAGTCATTTCAATGATTAACCTGAATGATGACACCTATGTAAGTGTGTTTTTTGACAGGGGGGAGACATTGACATTGACATTGAATTCATTAGAAGAAAAAAGCACGAAAAAAGCTGACATAATGCATGTCTTGCAGGAATTTTGCATTACCACAAAGTATATTTTAAATCTGTTTTTAGGTTCAGACCAGAGGTCTTACAGATTATTGCAAGAAAAAGTCAACCTTCACCAACACTGGCTAAAAGACGCTTTAGATATTTTCTTCACAAATACAAAAACTCGAAAATCATTACAGTCCTTGATAGTCCAAAATATTTAATAATTTAATCTTTTTGAAAAGGTCAGATTTATTTGGACTGGGTGGTTTTTTAGTGAGACTACACCAAGGTTAGTAAGCTGGTCTGTGGTATTACCCATTCATTCACTCCACAGGAAACTATGAGGAGTTAAATCTTATACCAGTAATGTCAGTATACTACACTACATTATATAATTCTAAATTCTGGTTAAGTAAAATTAAAATTTTGATTTGCAGGTATAATTTGCAGTGTGTTCGTAAGTGTAAGGAGGGCGCTTTTTTCAAAGTTATGGCAGATTAATTTCTTTGCTATCATGATATATAATTTAAGGACTCTACTGACAGAGAAAGTCAGCCGTATAGAGAAGAGTTACTGCAATAAAACTACTTTTCTTTGGCAACAACTAACACATATAAGCTATTTATTGTACATGATTTTCTTCTTACACCTTGTTTCATGGAGGCATAATGGAGTTTTTGACCATGGTTGTGTTGTGGTCCCTGTCGTGTGTGTCAAACCAGTATGAGCATTCATTCCTGCCAGCTGCAGAGAGCTATTCTTTACAGATCTCACGGTTACTCGTGCCTTGTTACATTTCATGGCCATGAGATGAAAATCTCTTGGACCGTCGCAATGCCATTGTCTATTCTACTATATATTACATATGTACCCTAGAACATACATATACTGGGATGCTTGTATGCTGTGGATAAAAATATTTACCCCAAAATGAAGTAACCTATTTACAAAATCTGTAACAGTTTGTTCTAGGCCCATAAATTAGATAAACTAAATAAAACTTAACAGTAACAGATGAAACCAACCTGACAAATACTAAACCAACCCAACAAACTTAATCCAAAGGGGAACACTGAAATCATGACTGATCAGACTAGACACACACTAAAACCTGAAGTACAAATAAATAGCCCAGTCACCAGAATACAATTTTGGCATTGTTAATTTTCTGTAAACCATGCATATGTTACATTTGAATGCTTCATTTGTACCATACCAACTTTCCTGAAGTGAGTTAGTTCAGATTACAGTACATGTATATGAAGTGGAGGGGATAGTGGCTGGCATGAGACAGCTGCCAGCAGCAGACAACTGTTTGAGACCACCAGAAAACAAAATTGTGTATTTTAAACAACACATCTGGACATTTCCAGCTGCGTTTGTTGCAACAAAATAAGGTATTTTAAGCCAAAATGTGATTTCTCCCTAACCCTGAACTAGTGGTTTTTGTGACAAAACCACACATTAACCACAGTATAGTTGTTATGATCTGATTTGCCACTTCCTGTATTTCAGAGCTTTGCTTGAGGGGGTGCATCTTTTGCTCCAGCCTGACAAGATGTGCAGCACCCTCAACACGGGTAGGCAAAGAAACAGAAAGTGGAACAACTTAAGGAAAACTCAAATGTGACTGTGCATAAGTTGAGTCAATGCGAGTGCTACAAATAGAAAATGATGTACTGCCAACAGTACCAAATATTTTATGAATTTGATGTATGGAACAAAAGCTATGAGTCACCATTTATCTGTTTGCTGATTTGGGTGCAATGTGCATGAAGTCAAAAGGTCAAACTCAATGAGAAGAAAATGAACTATTAAGTGTAAACTTGTAACTCTGGAACAGCCTGGAGACCCTGAGGTGAGGTGAGACCATTTTTGAGGTCAAGAATTGAAGTCAACTTTTTAAGTTTTAATTCACCCCAAATCAAAAATACACATTTTTTCCTCTTACCTGTAGTGCTATTTGTCAGTCTAGATGTTTCGATGTGGGTTGCAGAGTGTTGGAGACATTTGCTGCACAGATGTCTGCCTTCTCTTGAATATAATGGAACTAGATGGCACTCAGCTTATCGTTCTCAAAGCGCAGAAAAAATACATTTGAAAAACTCAACAGCAATGTCTCCTTCCAGCAATCATGACTCAAAATAATACATTACAGGTCACCCAAGGAAGTCGCCATTAATGTTTACATATTGCACTGTCATCAGCTTGAGTCCTTTGTCAATAGATGCACAGGGATACAGGTGTGGGTCGGTAGAAATAAAATAGTTGAAACAGCTCACAACAAGGTCTGTGGATTATCTTGAGTCATGATTTATGGAAAGAGACACTGCTGTTGAGTTGTTTTTTTTTAATGCTTTGAGCACCACAAGCCTAGACTCATCTACTTCCATTACATTTGAGAAAAGGTAGACATCTTTATAGCTGCTATCTCCAACACTCTGCAACTCACACCAAAACAATATTGACTGATAAATAGTACTACAGGTAAGAAGAAAAAAAAAGTAGTTTCGAATCTGGGGTGAACTGTCTCTTTAATGTAATATGAATATTTATGAGATTTGATCATCTACAATACTAAATCAAAAGAACAAACTTCATCTGCTTATATCGATCATCTGATATGATAGAAAGCTCCACAATTAAATTAACCTTGGGGCGAGATTGTGTTGCCATCTCCTTTTCAAATGTTTTATCCATTTAACATGTTTATTAGAGCTTATGAACACATCCAGTTTGTTTTACTGAGAAAAATTTATGATAAAAACTCCACAGGGCACTTTTCATTTCTTTTAGAAACTAGATCTTATGAGTAAAAAAAAACCACGTTTGGTCCAGTGGTGTGTGGTGTTTTGAGCATCAGTGTTTACACCGATGGGTTGTAGAAAAGAAGATAAAAATCTTGGTGCTCTCTCCTGAACAGGTCGAGTGAATCAGAGGTAAAAGGTAACTAAATGTGCAGCCTAGTGAAGACTGCCCACGCAGCAGACTGCCCACGGCTGGGCCACAGCGTGCTATCATCCTGCTAGCCTCCCTCTAGAAGCACTGTCTGAACCTTTTGAAAGGTTTGTTATCCTCATTCATTTACTGCGTTGTGTTTTTAGTGATGAGAATGGTCTGTATGTAATGGATCTAACTCTAATAGGTGCAGACTGTTGCTGCTAAAGTCACTAAGCATAGAGTCTGTTAATAACTACCCCCTTGACCTATGGCACACAGAAACTAAGAACCAAATCACTGTCTACTGGATGCATATGATACCGCAACACGTATTCATTACCCACTGATGAACCAAGCTGTTAGTGCTACTCAAATATAAGCAGCCATGTCCAGTCACACCGTTATAAATTCATTAAGCGAAACATTGTTTACGGTGACAAAGAAATGTATCTCAGATGAGATGGCAACATGCCTAACTTTCATGCGGAACGATCTGTCATGTTTTATTATTGAGTTGTCACAAAGAATGAGGAAGTCCAAGTCTTCAAGGACATTTCACATTGAGCCTGTGCTATTTCTCGCTGCCAGGATTGCACTGTTTTGTGCTTCTGAAAAAGAAAGAAAGAAGAAAAAAGAAACAAATGAATAATTTCATGAGGCTTTCATTTTTTCCCCTTGAATGCTGGAAGCAGACTGCATTTTTTTCCATCGCAATCACGGTGGCTACACTTTGATTGAACCGCTTCAACTTTTTTCGGACCATTATAAAGTGCTCTACTTATGTTCTGAATGATTCATATGCACTAACACTAGAGCTGTGTTAGCTGTGGAAATGGTGTACTTATCTGCCTCTTCTTTTCACCTTTACCCTTAATTAGCAAAAGCCATCCACCTATACACAATCACATCGGCTCACATTTGAAGCCCTTCTGGTGAATGTGAGTGTTGCCATGCACAAAGAAGGCATGCACCTGTCAATAGGAGTGATGCTCAGTGTGGTCCAGCAGTTGGCTTCAGTGCAGATGTGTCAGAGAGCATCAGGAGATAGTGGCAGTCGTACCACTGAATGGCATAGGCTAAGGCAGCCTAATAACCACTCATGCATTACGTGTCAGTCACTTGCAGTACAGGTCCTGACATACAGGACTGGATGGGGCCTGGCCTGCCTGTCATGAGTACACACTGACATGCAGCTACACTGTGACACAGCGCACACTCTACGTGACCTCTGGGTCGCACATCTGTGTGGAGTGACGCTCTGCGGGTTGTTTTCTAGCACCGTGCCCTTGGAGCTCTTGCTGACTGACATGAGTGATCACTATGCCAGCTCTCGCATTGCATCCAGACTGCACTT